AGCAAATATCTTGCACAGTAATGGAGAGAGAAAAGGTGAACAAATGCAGCAATGGTACTCACTAGACACTATATTGAAAATGAGCTATACAACTTGTGGGTGGGGATGGGAAGAAAACAACTGAGAGCAAGGGAAGGGGTGACGTTGTCCAAAAAGAAATGTACTCTTTACCTGACTTTATATGACTGTAACCCCTCTGTTGACCTCCTTTATAAGAAGAAGAAAGAAAAGAAAAAAAGATCTCAACAACCTTACCCAAAGAAAAAGAAAAATCAAACTAAATCCAAAGCAAGTAGAAGGAAGGACATAAAAGAGAACTGAGTAGAAATAAATGAAAATAGAATAATAACAGAGAAAAGTATATGAAACCAAAAGCCGATTGAAAAATAAAAAAATAGAGAAAATTTCAGTCTCAAAATTTAAAATCAGAAGGGCTGGGAAGGTGGCTCAGTGGTAGAGTGCTTGCCTTGCATGCCTGAGGCCCTGGGTTCAATTCCTCAGCACCACATAAGCAAAAAGAAAAAAAGCCAGAAGTGGCTCTGTGGCTCAAGTGGTAGAGCGCTAGCCTTGAGCTGAAGAGCTGAGGGACAGCGCCCAGGCCAGAGTTCAGGCCCCATGACCGGACCCCAAAAAAAAAAAAAAATTTAAAATCAGGAATAAAAGAAAGGCTACATATTCATCCTCACAGTCATAAAAAGGATTGTATGAGAATTTTATGGAAAAAAAATTAAATCAAAGTGAAATAACCTAAATAAAATGCAAAAATTCCTAGAAAAATACAACTTATACAGAGACTGACTTAAGAAGAAGAAAAAGTCTGAATATACATAAGAAATAAAGAGAGGGCTGGGAAGGTGACTCAGTGGTAGAGCGCTTGCCTTGCATGCATGAGGCCCTGGGTTCAATTCCTCAGCACCACATAAGCAGAAAAAAAAGCCGGAAGTGGTGCTGTGGCTCAAGTGGTAGAGCGCTAGCCTTGAGCTGAAGAGCTGAGGGACAGTGCCCAGGCCCAGAGTTCAGGCCCCACGACCAGACCCAAAAAGAAAAAAAAAAAAGAAATAAAGAAATAAAGAGACTGAATTAGCAATTGTGGTGTTTGGTAGTACTGGAGTTTGAACTCAGGGCAGGCAATTTACCAATAAGACATGGCTCTAGTCCTTTTTATACTGGTTACTTTCAAGATAGAATCTTACTTCCTGGGCTTGGGCCACAATCATCTTTTTTAGGCTGGGATGACGTGCCACCATTCTCAATTTCTGTTGAGATGGAATCTCAGAACTTTTCTGCCTGGCTGGACTGAAACCTCAATCCTCCCAATCTCAGCCTAACAAATAGCTAGGCTTACAATGTGAGTCTGTTTCTTTTTCTTCTGTATTTCTCCCTCTTTTAATTCTGTTATGCTAAAATATATTCGTGCTAAAACAGAAAGAAAGAGAGCGAGAAAGAAAGAGAGAGGAAGGAAGAAAGGAAAGAAGAAAGGAAGGGAGGGAGGGAGAGAAGGAGGGAAGGAAGGAAGGATGGACAGAAGGAAGAAAGGAAGGAAGGAAGGAAGGAAGGAAGGAGGCGAAAGGAAGACTAAATCTTTATGATCTTGGATTTAGGTAATTTTTTGTTTGTTTGTTTTTGTTTGTTTGGTTGTTGTTGTTGTTGTTGTTTTTGATTGGCTGTGGAGCTTGAACTCAGGGCCTGGGTGCTGTCCTTGAACTTTTTTTTTTTTTAGGTCCAGTCGTGGGACCTGAACTCTGGGCCTGGGCGCTGTCCCTCAGCTCTTCAGCTCAAGGCTAGCACTCTACCACTTGAGCCACAGCGCCACTTCCAGCTTTTTTCTTTTTGCTTATGTGGTGCTGAGGAATTGAACCCAGGGCCTCATGCATGCAAGGCAAGCGCTCTACCACTGAGCCACCTTCCCAGCCCTATCCTTGAACGTTTTTGTGCTCAAGGCTAGCGTTCTACCACTTGGACTATGATTTTTAAGTGGCTAATAGGAGACAAGAATCTCTAAGACACTTTTCTATCCAGGTGGCTTTGAATCATGATCCTTAGATCTCAGCCTCCTGAATAGCTAAGATATCAGGCCTAAGCCACCAGCTTCTGGTTTAGGTAATAATTTTTTAACAGAAACCAAAAAAGATTATTTGGGCTTTGTCAAAATTTTAAAAATTGTGCTTCCAAAGATACTATCTAAAAGTGAAGAGCAGTCCACAGAATGGGAGAAAATTCTTGCAAATCATATATTTGATAAGAATCCAAAATATATAAAGAACTCCTTTGTATACTAGCAATTTCTCAATAGACTGGGCACCATGGGCTCATGCATATAATTCTAATTAAGGAGGCTGAGAATTGAGGTTTGAAGCCAGCCAAGCCAGCCCCAGCAAACAAATCTAAGAGATTCTTATTTCCAACTAACCAGCAAAAATCCAGAAATAGAGGTGTGGCTAAGCTGGTAGAGTGTCAGCCTTGAGCAGGAAAAGCTAAATGAGAGACCAAGTCTCACAGTTCAACTCCCAAAACAGTACACACACATACAAAATGGATGAAAGGTAAATGTAAGACCTGAAAATATAAAACTACTACAAGAAAACATAGGTGACATTGGAATGGGCCAGAATTTTTAGCCTAAGACTTCAACAGCACAGGAAAGAAAGCAAAAATGGACAAATGGGATGATCAACAGAAAAAATATTACAAGTAACAAGAGGCTAATGCACATAACTCAATAGCAACATAAATAAAATACTAAATAAGTGGCAGGCATACACGGCTATTTCTCAAGAGATGTACAAATTGCCAACAGGTAGATGGAAATATGTTCCACCTGTGCAGTGCCCATCAAAACCACAAATGAGGTTTCACCTCATTCCAGTTAAAATGGGTATTATCAAAAAGACAAAGATAACAAGTGCTGGTAAGGATATGGAGAAAAGGAAACTATTACACCACATTGGGAATATAAATTAGTGCAGCCATAATTATGGGATATAATGTGGAGGTTTCTCAACAAAATTCAAAGTAGAACCACCATAAATTCCAGTAATCCAAGCACTGGGTTTACAGCAAAAAAAAAAAAAAAAAAATGAGCCTGGGGCAGTGGCTCACACCTGTAATTCTGGCTATTCAGGAAGCTGAGATCTGAAGATCTCAGTTCAAAGCCAGCTTGCAGGAAAGTCCGTGAGACTCTTATCTCCAATTAACCACCAGAAAACAGGAAGTGAAGCTGGGGCTCAAAGTGGTAGGGTGCTAGCATTGAGCAAAAAGCTCAGGGACAGTGAAAGATTAATTAAATTTAGCCAGAGAACCATGCAAACACCCAGGTACAGAGAACAAAGAAAGATTTATTGCCAGGAAAGGGGACCCCCAGCAAGACTCCTTCTCACAAGGGAAAAGTGAGAAGCACCTGCTATTGTCTGAGGTGACCTATGTAACCTTGGGGGGTTTAGGAGGGGTAGAAGGGACTAGGAGGCAGAGACCCAGGTGTGGACCTGTGGGCTAGGGGCTTCATCATGGCAGACTAGGATTTATGGCTGCTATACAAATAGAAGATAAGGGTCCTGCAACTGCCCAGACCTGAAGGTCACCGTATGGGACTCTTATTGCCTTTTATGGTGGTAGCTGCCCCAGAGAAGTGCCATCCCAAGGTAAAGGGGGCTGGAGGCTGATTATTTACTGCCTTTACTACGTGGGCCTAGTGTTGCCTAGGAAGGGAACATGCTAAACTGTGGAGAAGGGAAGGAGTGGACTAATCAATGGGAAGGGAGCTACCAGAGCCCACAACGGACTAAAAAAGAAAAATAAGTATGTTGAAAAAATGTCTGCGCTCATAGGCGTATTGCGGTACTACTCACAACAGTTAGGAAATGGAGTCAACCTAAGTTTCCACCAACTGATGGAGAAAAGAAATGGGTATATGAACATAATGGAATACTATTCAGACATAAAAAGGTCATCCTGGGCTGGGAAGGTGGTAGAGTGCTTGCCTTGCATGCATGAGGCCCTGGGTTTGATTCCTCAGCACCACATAAGCAGAAAAAAAGCCAGACGTGGCACTGTGGCTCAAGCGGTAGAGCGCTAGCCTTGAGCTGAAGAGCTGAGGGACTGTCCCCAGACCCAGAGTTCAAGCCCCACAACTGGAAAAAAAAAAAAAAGGTCATCCTGTCATTGTCATTTGCAAAACATGGATGGATCTGGAGATCATTATGTTAAGTGAAATAAGCTAGGCACAGGGAAAAAAAAGAATACTGTATGATCTCATTCACATGGAATAAAAAATGGTGGATTTCATAGGTGTTGAAGTGGAATAACAGGTTGGGAATGTGGGAACTAGCAAGGAATGAGGAAAAGTTGATCACTAGTTAGTAAGTTACATTAGATAGGCCACCGTCATTCATTTCTGGTGTTGTGCACAAAAAGGTAATGGTAATGTACTCTGTGAGTGCCGGTTTTGAGGCTCGAACTCAGGGTGTAGGTGCTATCGCTGGGCTCTGCCCGCCACCCCTCCAAAGCTAGCTCTCTACCACTTCAGCCACATCTCCACTTGCAGCTTTTATTTTTGTCAGTCGTGGGGCTTGAACTCTGGGCCTGGGCGCTGTCCCTCAGGTCTTCAGCTCAAGGCTGGCGCTCTACCACTTGAGCCACAGCACCACTTCCAGTTTTTGAGTGGTTCATTGGAGATAAGAGTCTCATGAGGACTTTCCTGCCCAGACTGGCTTTGAGCTGCGATTCTCAGATCTCAGTCTCCTGAGTAGCTAGGATTACAGGCGTGAGCCACCAGCGCCCGGCCTGTTTTACTTTTCTTGGCCCTGTAGAGATGCCCTCTTCCTTTCTCTCCCCCTGGAGCCTACAGCCGAGCACGTGTGCCCCGTGTGTACAGTCCCCGCTCTGTCTCCGACGCGGGCTCTGCCCACGGCAAGCCACGCCCCCAGGCCCTTTTCCAGCTCAGTCCCCACCAGTCTCGCCCCTCCCCCCTCCGGCTTCTCGCGAGAGGCGAGCGCGCCTGGTCGGACGAGAGGAAAGTATCTGCTCCGCTGAGGGGGGAAAGAAGGAGCTGGAGACAGATTGTAGGAGCGAGCGCGGGCGGGCGGGAGGCGACGAGCTACCAGCGGGTGAGTCCTGTTAATATTAGCTAGTCCGTGATCTAACAGGAGTCTCCCCTCCAACTTCGACGAGCCCCAACGTCCCGGGCCAGGATCTCCCCTCCCAGGCTATGTTGGACGGGGGCGCTGAGGCGGTGGCCGGGCCCTGTCTGAGGAAGAGGGTGGGGCGTAAACTAAAGACAACCAATAAGAGGTTAGGAATTCACGATTGGCGGCGATGAGCACTAATGGGAGATCGCTTTTACCTCCGGAGTACCGCCCTCCTCTCCCCCTCCTCCCGCCTCCTTCCTTTTGGGGGAAGGCGGGGCCAGTGGCCTGAAGTGTGGGGAGAACTTGGGGTAAGTAGCCCCGGGGGGCACAGGGCGTGGCAAGGAAAGGGGAATTGAATCCTGAGGGAAGAGTAGCCTACTGGAGCCCAATGTGGAGGAATTATGGAATGGGAAAATGAGGAGGACTACTAAACTAGGTTGAAGACGCAGGCGTCCCAAAGAGTGGGGTTAGGGACTTGGCATTGGAAAAGGCAGGGGTAAATAAGCAGGAAAAAGGTCTGAATACTTGAGTATAGGACCTTGATCAGGTGAACAAATGGGCTGGAAAGAAAGTAGGGGGTAGATCATTAGAAATGAGAGTCAGGGTATTTCGGTTAAATTACTAATATCCCAGACGATATCAGAGAGAGGGTATGGATTTGCAGAAAACTGAGTGAGTGAGCTTAGGAAGACAGTATCTGGGTGGGTTGACTAGCCAGAAGGCATGGCTTTGGGGACGGAGTAGAGCTAAGAGGTTTAAGGAGGTGTTTGGAAAGGAGACTACTGGTATACACAGGTCGTTAACTTAGGCTGGGATGTTGAAGTAGGGCTCTGGTGATAGAAGTTTAGAAGGAGAAAAGTAGAACGCTGATTGCTTCTATGATGTTCTTTCTCCTTCTGTTTCCTTCCCAAACTTCATGTGTTCCAAAACACGGTGATATGGGCTTGGGACTTAAGCAACCCAAGTTGGAGCCCCATAGGGACTTATATGTTGTTCTGAATTGCTTATTATGTGTTCTCACTGGGGTGTTTACTACCCAGGGCACCTCCTACCCAGATTCCGGGATTGCTACTTTCTTAACTTTAAAAAGTTTTTCTATTTAACTTAGAGTATATATATATTTATTTTTTTTTTTGAGATTCCTGTCATATTAAGTGAGGTTTGTAGGAGTGTGCAGATTTTTCCTAGGAAGCTCATTTGTATCGTAAAATTTTGCAGTGTAATTTTTGTAAAAAAAAATCGTATAGGCAAGCACTAATATACTAAAATGAAGTCTGCTTCGTTAAACGTGGCTTCTCCACTCATTCTTGAAGAGTTGTGAGTAATTGCAATTACTCATTATCTTACATATTTTTAAATAAAATGGACTCATAGTTCAGGAAAATGAGCATTCTTCACTTTTTTTTTTGCATCCAGACAGAGAAACTAATGTTACGTCACAATATCTTAGGGCAAAGATTGGGGAAATCAAACACAATTTGTATTTAAACATGGAGAATGTAAGGTAAGTGGTGGCTATTGCGAAATGTAACATGTCTGTAAGAAAAGAAGCTAAAGAAAAGTTTGGCACCTATACTAAGTAGTCTTACCAGTTTGTTCCTAATTCTTTACCAAAAAGGGACAGGCCTTTGCCCTTTGTTTAATAGTGTTATCATTTAATAATGAAGCAGACTGATGCAACTGGTTAATAACTTCTTTGCGGTTGCATAGATTTTTCTTTTACATTTCTCCTTCTCTCCTCTCAAATCCAAAGCACTGAACATGCTAGACAAGTGCTTTACCATTAATATATAAAGAGAAATCAGAATGTGGGTTTTTTTTGTTTTTGCCAGGCCTAAAGCTAGAACTTGGGGCCTAGGCACTGTCCCTGAGCCTCTTTGTGATCAAGGCTAGCTAGTGCTCTACCACATGAGCCACAGTGCTACTTCCAGTTTTTTCTGAGTAGTTTATTCTTGATAAGAGTCTCATGGAATTTCCTGTCCTGGCTTGCTTTGAACCATGATCCTCAGAGCTCAGCCTCCTAAATAGTTGGGATTATAGACATGAGCCACTGGCACCCACCTCAGAGTATTTTATATTAATTTTTGGTTTTCAACTATTTGATACCTTTTCTCTTGTCTGGGAAGTTGCCCCCACAGCATATTGAGATCAATTAATTACTGACCCATTAACATTAATTACTACTGCATGGTGTTCCAGTATTTCACATCAAGAGCATTGCTGTTGGGCATCAGAACATGTTTACAGTTTACCTCGAAATAGTACAAAAAAAATAGCCAATGAGAAAATAAAGTCTAGATTTGTGATGGCTTTAATATGGACATTATTAAGTGGAAGATTTTTTTTTTCCTCACTAGTGTTCCCATCTAGAAGAAACTGTTCATGTTACAGTGTGTGGATCAAAGTTTATACCTTGTGGGTGTTTGAGTGATAGAAATTCTAAGTATCCTGGTTTACCATGTATTTTTAAATGTTAATATCTGCTAATATTTGCTATTAGAGTATTTTACTCTCTTCTAACCCAAAATGACAATTTTTTTTCCCAACCAGCCTTAAGCTTCTACTTTGTCTCAAGTAAAGTCCCTCTAGCTCTGCCTCAGCATAAGTTGCTCTGAAGTTCTCAGAAGTTATTGTTTTGAGCACGTTAAGACAGAGCTTTTCCTATGCTGCAGTGGGAGGGAGTCTTACCATAGCCTCCTATCCTCCATGTCTGATAAGGAGGAGTCTTCTTCTTGCACAAAAGTTTTAGGTGGAACAAATAGTATTGCCATGCAAGCACTTAATAAAGAGCTCTCTTCTGGGAGCAGGCTGGCCTATCCTTATCCCTTGATTAAGGTACTAAAGTTAAAGTATATATATCATTTCTTTGAAAAAACAAATGCAGCATTCATTTAAAAAGCCAAAGTGTTTGTTTCTTTTGTTGTTAGTTTCTCTCAAAATGTTTCTGTGATTTTGGAGTTTATGAAAAAGTCTTATGCCGGGCGCTAGTGGCTCACACCTGTAATCCTAGCTACTCAGGAGGCAGAGATCTGAGGATCATGGTTCAAAGGCAGCCCAGGCAGGAGTCCATGAGACTCTTATTTACTCTTATCTCCAATAAATCACCAGAAAACCAGAAGTGGCGCTGTGGCTCAAGTGGTAGAGCACTAGCCTTGAGCTGAAGAGCTAAGGGACAGGCCCAGAGTTCAAGCCCCAGGGACCGACCAAAAAAAAAAAAAAAAGTCTTCTGTCACTTTAAAAGCATGTCCAAGATAACAGTTCGCAGTACTCATTTTTGAAGTACTGCTTTTGGGCAGTACTAAACTATTCAGGGGCTAAGATCTGATGATTGCAGTTCAAAGCCAGCTGGGGCAGGAAAGACCATGAGACTCTTATCTCCACCAGAAAAGTGGAGCTGGGTCTCAATCAAAGTGGTAGAGCTCTAGCCTAGAGCAGAGCAGAAAGCTCAGGTACAGTGCCCAGACCCTGAGTTCAAATCTCATGACCAAAAAAAAAAGATTTTTTAGCCTCCTGAATAGCTATGAATACAGGTACCTGGCTTAAATCAGATTTTTAATAAAGGTCAGGTTCTTCATCCACTTGCTTACAAGGGTTTTGAGGATTTTTAAAATCTGGATCAGAGTATATATTCAGATACAATCTGATCAATACAAAAACTATAGGAGTGTAGTTTTTTTATCACTTCACCCTATGCTGCTTAAATCTTCAGGATGTGTTAATTTGTTTAATTTATTTTAAAACATAATTGAGAACTTTTATTCTTGTAGTTATCATTTTATTAGTGGCTTATTATTATAGCTTCATAGTGATTTTTAGCTTCTTTACCATTTTCTCATATATTTGCATTAGTGATAAATTTGAAAAACACGATTGCCTGTGTTTTCATTTTAGATTGCTGGTAAAAAATATATAAGGATAGGACAATGTTGTATAACATTTGTAGACTATCATTTTGTTAACATTATTATTAGCCTTCTAGATAAACTTCAATTATGAATCCCACTTACATTTTATATAATATAACCTTTATTTTTTATTAAACATCAATAAGTATCTAGTTAAAATCTAAATGCATACTCTTACATTCTGAGCTCCTAGGTAGTGACCCTATCAAAAAGAAAAATGAGCTGTGCACTGGTGGTTCTATAATTCTAGCTGCTAGGAGGCTGAGATCTGAAGATTGTGGTTCAAAGCCAGCCCAGGCAGGAAAGTCCCTGAGTTCTTGTCTCCAATTAGCCACCAGAAAGCCGGAAGTAGCACTGTGGCTCAAGTGCTAGTGTGCTAGCCTTAAGCAAAAGAGCTCATCACCCAGGCCCAGAGTTAAAGTCCCAGGACCAACTAACAAAAGAAAAGAAAAGAAAAAAGAAAGAAAAAAAGAAGCTGGTCGCCGGTGGCTCACACCTGTAATCCTAGCTACTCAGGAGGCTGAGATCTGAGGATCATGGTTCAAAGCCAGCCTGGACAGGAAAGTTCATGAAACTCTTATCTCCAATAAACCACTAGAAAACCTGAAGTGCACTGTGGCTCAAGCAGTAGAGCGCTCGCCTTGAGCTGAAGAGCTGAGGGATAGCGCCTAAGCCCAGAGTTCAAGCCCAATGACTGACAAAAAAAAAAAAAAAAAAAAAAAGAAAGAAACCTGAAGTCAGTGGCTCACACCTGTAATCCTAGCTGCTCAGGAGGCTGAGATCTGAGAAATGCAGTTTGAAGCCATCCTAGGCAGGAAAGCCTGTGAGACTCTTAACTCCAATTAACCACCAGAAAACTGGAAGTGAAGCTGTGGCTCAAAGTGGTAGAGCACTAGCCTTAAGCAAATAAGAGCTCAGGGACAGTGCCCAGGTCCTGAGTTCAAGCCCCAGGTCTAGCACAAAGAAGAAAGAGGGAGGAGGAAGGGGGGAAGGAGGGAAAGAAAGAAAGGAAAGAGAAGAGAAGGAAGGAAGTTTGAAAAGGAGGGAGGGAGGGAGAAAGGAAAATGAAGTTAGATATTAATTGATGCTCTTATTTTTTTTTAACTGTATTTTTTTTGTTTTTTCTTTTTTGGTACTGGGGATCGAACCCAGGATGTTGCACTTGCTAGCTAGGCAAGCGCTTTGCCACTGAGCTACATCCCAGCCCTTGATGCTCTTATTTTTTAAAAAATTAATTTACATTGGTTAAAGAGAGGAATTTCATTGTTACAGCTTCACATGCTTAAATTTTTTACAGTCAGTTTCACCTTCTGTTACTTTTTATCCTCAGCTCTTCTTAAAATAATTTCAGCCATTTCCCTTGTTCAATTTTTATAGTTGTAAACAATCTAATTCAACTGTAT